CCCGACAGCTTCTGTTATGTTTGTGGTGAATACACAGAGAAAAGTCAACAAAGAAACATAAGTGAGTTTGCGAAGAAAGATTAATTTGCGTATTTCAAATTGAAACTTGGAGATCAAGACAAAGCAGATTTTTGGAAACAATGGGAGAAAAGGAAATAGAAGCATGGGACTCTTTCAAGAATGTTGTGCATGAGTTTTTGGGGAATACTAAGGACCTGACTACAAAACCATTGTACTGTACAACGCATGCTGGCAGCAGCGTATGAAGCTTGAGGATGCAAGATGAGCTTAAAAGTTCATTTCTTACGCTTCCATATTGACTATTTTCCCGAAAACTTGGGAGCCTACAATGAAGAACAAGATTTCACCAGGATGTCCGTGATATCGAGAGACGTTACCAAGGAAAATGGGATGTCAGTATGTTAGCTGACTACTGTTGGATGCTCAATAGAGAAACCAGAGAAGGAAATCGGAAACGAGTTTGGAGAAGCATCAAAAAGAAGAAGAAAAGGTTTCATAAAAAAAAAAGACTAGACCTAAAATTGTGTATAAATATCAGAAACAATTTGTTGATTAGTTGTAAGAAAATATAATATATTTAGTTCATTGTAATAAATAAGAGTTTTTATAAAAAATTGGTTTTTATTTTGCAAAATCCTTTACGTGATGGGATGTAACGGAAGTTATTTTTAGAATCTGCGATCTTTAAAACATATAATTCAGCAAAAATATTCCATGCATTTTTTTTTGCACACCTGTGTAATTATTTGAGACTGTTGAGCGACCGATTTTAAACCTGTGCTGTAGTGATATCTGTGCATCACCCGGATGCTAAATTTCTATAATGCGAAAAGTAAATTTAAGCATACTTATAATAATATTTAACATAAAATTATAAATTTATTTCTACCTATAATAAATGTGATGGACAAACGCTGACGTTCAGAGACAGGTTTTCTCAATTGCGTTCATTCTCTTTTAAATATGGTTTAACAAGTGCCAATAAGTCGTCGAATACAGCTAGGGTCATTCTTAAAAAAAAACTAAAGAAACTTTTATGATCCTGTAAGTGCATTTCTTAGATCAGATTGGTATAATAGCCTTGTCGCATACGTCTTTGGAAAAGTGGTTTCACCCAAACAAGTTTTTTTTCAAATAAAGGTGAATTAAACAAACAATTTTAGAAATAAAGGTAGAAGGAATAGCTTAAACACAAATTAAAATAACATATAATAATAAATATTAGTATTAAAATTAGTAGTAATACAAAATACTACTCCATTAAAAGTAATAAATTTCTAAATTGATTACGTAAAGTTTAAATTAATCTATAAGAAATATCAATTGTTTAATAACGACAAGTCAAATTCCCTCGATCTCTTAGAAAACCCTTGCATTTGAAGAAACTTCTATAAAACTGGAGAATGTAAACGAAATCTTTTCGACCAATCAGTTCTTAGTTTGTGCATGTGGTACAACGCTAACAACAATTTAGTGTTCGTTTCGTTCGTTCGTATCGGTTCTTATGCCAATGTGGACCCATCTTTACTATTAGATGTCATGCTGTTTTTATTACTCTACTAGCTTACCCGTCGCGCATTGCTGCGATCTCAGAAGAAAGGAAATTCAAGCAAACTCGTTATGATAAAATTCAATTTACATTTTATCATTTTTATTGAAACTTATTATTATTATTCATTTTCATCGGAAAAACATTTCAAAGTGTTGTTTCAATTCTATTTATTTATTGGAGTGCTTGTGGATACACGATATTTTTTGTTTTTCCGTCTGGTGCGTACACGAATAAATCA